ATCAGCATTTAAGTCCCAGACAACATACCCTCTGTTATCACTGAAAACCTCTCGACCAAACTAGGTTTAAGCAGGGGTGGTATGAAACTCTTGTCTGATTATTTTAGAGGATTTATGAGCATCTTTGTTCATTACCACCTCTTTGAGACAGCCCCTTTTTTGTATGATACTGTATGTCATGCCTGACCTAAGTAAAAAAAGAAAAGGAGTCATCATACTTAATAGAATTATTATCAATCTAATATTAAGTCATTTTAGGTAATGTATGATCCACTGGACGTAGTTCTGCTATAGAAAGGTGAGACTTTGAGAATGCATCTTCACATTTTTATACGTTATCCATATGCTAAATAAAATCCTTGGTTGAAAATTGTTATTTTGCATAAAGACTTTGCTTTTTTGGAAAAATATCCATTACATTTCTTGTCATTGGAAAAGTAATATCTTTATTCTTGTGTGAATCTTATGGCTTGACAGAAGAAGATAAATAATTTGTTGACCTCCTTCCTCCACCATGACATCATCCTCAGTGACAGTAGAGATACAGAGCTGTTAAAACACGCACTGAGAGGAGAGGGGGCTTAGTTTAGTGTCATCAGCTTTATCAGTCAAGGGAATGACCCAACCCAGTACAGAGACAATAATGGTTTGGGTCCCTGGGAAAAATTGTTGCAAAGACAGAAACTAGATGCAGTGTAGTGTTGAAGGAGGATCCTCCTATTTTACCAACTCGGATACACACAAAAAAAGCAATGTATCAACAATAGTGCTTTGAATGTACTTTAAGAAACAGGAGCTTCTATGCTTCTTAGTCAAAAGTTTCACTGATGTTGTTTCTTTGCTTTTGCAAAATCTAAGAATGGAACATGTTTTCGTGGATCATTTACCAAAGGATAATTAAGTTATTTCTCTGCTTTATTTCACATATTTTAATTAGTGCTGTGCCACCAATTAGTTATTGCAATTTGAGAAGGCCTGCACGGTCAAGCAGTCAATCTACTTAACACTAACATCTTTCTGCAACAAGATTCATCTGTGAATCAGTCTAGGAGCAGACATTGTGCAGACCATCCATCAAGCAATAGGGTGATCCACAGCCTCAAAATACACAGCTAAACAGTTCTTACCAGTGCAGGAGAAAGAGTTGGCAGTCCTGTATTTCACTTATTTGGTTCACTTCTCACAGTTCTACTATTTTTGCACTTTAATGCAGTCTCTGGAGAAAGCTTTCTAAAAAATATCTCTCTAAAAATGTGCTTTTAGGGAAAGAAAAACATCCAATGATGTGTTCTCTCATTGCTTTGTGGGTGTTGCATTTGCATCACTCTCATTCATGTGCCCTTAGGAACTTTACGGACCAGCCCTTTTGAAAAGGCTCTCACTCATTTTATTGCTGCTTAAATTAGTCTTTGTGCTTCATGGAAGTGAACAGCATGGGAAATTTTACTTTTATGTTTCTTCCAGATATATTCTGGATTCATATATCTACCACAAAATTAAATCACTCCCCCTCAAAATTATTTTTAGAAATTCTACATGTAAAAACAGGTTTTAATAAGTAGTGTGTGCAGGGTTTGCTTTATTAGAAATCAAGAATGAATCTGCCGTTCCACACATTAGAATACAAGGAGAGGGTTTATTGATTCTGTCTCTTTTATATGTGAGAAGAGTCTGGGTTATACAGTGCCTTGCAAAAGCATTCATATCCTGGTAACCTGTTTTGCATTTTGTCACACTCAAGCATGAACTTCATAGTCTTTTATTCCGATTTTATTTGAAAGATCAAAGCAGAAGACCTCTGCAAATACTTTGAAGAACCATTTTTAATGCATTTATAGTTTCAAGTCTAGGCTTCTACCTACGTAGCACATCTTGACACTGAAAGATTGGGCAATTCCTCCTTCAAAGTAGTAGCTACAAGCTCAGTTAGATTAAAAGATTACAATACATGAGCATTAGTTTAGAAATGTTGCCTCAGAATCCAGGATCCTCAACAGGATTTTTAATGCTTGATCTCTGTTTTCAGGGCTGTACTATATTTACCTGCCTAGGGGACCTGAGCCAATGACAGTCTTAATTGCACAGGTTTCACGTTATTCTTGCACTTCTCTCATGTCTGCAAGCACAGGTAAATGTGTTTAAAAAAATTTTTTTTTCATAGCTATCACACTTATTAAAGATCAGGGTATTGGCAGAGCTCTGGTGTGATTCTAAACGTTTGTAGGATGCCCAGATGTACTGTAAGCCAAAGTGCTGTCACGCTCATAAAAAGTTAGCAAATCATCCTGATTTTCATTGTAATGGTAACTTTTTTAGCCTAATGACCAGTTACATTGAAATATGGTGATACGAACCCTGGACTCTCTGTTGCTTCTGATCTGGAGCTGATTTTGTCATTTCAGCAATGAAAACCCTCTGTTCTAAGTCATTCTATCTTCTAGCTGTATATTTTAGGCCATTTTTCCAACATAAGGTGACCCTCTAACTTACTTCCAAGTCTCCTGCAGCCACTTACAGGCTTTTACCCCAGACTGCCCCATTTGTAGTTCATTACCTCCTACCATCAACCTTAACTAGGCTCTCTGTCCCTGCCAGAGAAAAGTATTCCCACAACAGCAAAACCATGTTTCTCTTAGGGGGTGGTGTGTTCGGGCTAATTTCCAGTATTAGTTCAAAAAGTTCGGTTTTGATCTCTTCTGTCCAGGGCATTTATAAATTTTTTTTTTTTTTTTTTTTTTATGAAAAACCAGTTCTGCATTGAACAAACTCTGCAGCTCCTCCAAAATTACAATAGTTTAGTTGTATTTAAGTTTTGCATTTGTGTATGTCCCTGAACTTTACCTTTACAATTGTGCACTAGTTTGTGTTGACCTATCACATAAGAAAACCATTAAATTGCATTAAAATATAGATATGTATGTGTACATATATATATATATATATATATATATATATATATATATATATATATATATATATATATATATATACATATATACATTTAACACAGGACCACACTCAGACTTCATCTTGCAAGTAAACAAAACAAGCAAACAAATTCACATCTTTAAAACCAATTTCTTTGTTACAAATGATCTCATGACACATACATTTTAACAGGCTCCCTCTCATTGGCCAATGTAATATTAGGCAGTTATGTAACTAATGGCTACCAGTTTTGTAGCTTTCCTTCCCTGCCAGGCTGACTGTTTTATTAGCATTAACAGTCCAAATGAGGTTTTCTGTTCTTTGTCTGCTTAACAGCTCTTGCCTTTTTTTATCCTTCTCTTTTTGCCCTGTCTGGTTTACAAAGAAAGGTAATAAAGGATGGAGCATCAGCATTCTCTAGAGGCCAATAGAGGGAATAACATATTCTTTGTTGAAAGACATTTATCTTTCTCCTGTCTGATTGTGTTCTTTTCTGTGTCTGCTCTTTGTGAGATACCTTCTTATTTATTGTAGAATTTGCAGTCTGCAGAGAATTCTATTTTGAGCTAGGCGCACTCTCCTATTTGTTTTAAATAGGCTGACTTGAGCTATCTGAACAGACAAACTGGAATGATCTAACCTGTCTTGTGGCTTAAAAGGAACATACAGGTAACTTTACTTTGACACACCCTAACTGAATTTAGAAGTAAACTGTAGCAAATTATTCTGTTTTGGTTTTCATGTGAAAGGTTGCAGAATCGTCATTAAAGTGCAACTTTAAGCACTGTCGGCTTTGTAATTCAGTTTAGTTTGCATGTTGCATTCATGACAAAACCTGTAACTGGGTGTGTCAGTATGTCCCTTGGAAACTAGAAAGAAAAACAAAGCAAACAACTGCTCTGTATGGGAAAAAAACACAGCTGAGTTGAACACTCCTTCAAATGGAATGCAGGGGATTCTATGACATGAGGACAAATGTTATTTGGTTTTCTTCTAAAGATTATAATCTTTCAGATTAGGTTCAAGGTGCTGAGTTAACAGAAAAAGGCTTTGCTTTAGGGAACTAGAATGTGACATTGTAGGAGACTCAGTCAGGATATGGCGTAATTTACATCATATATAGGTTGTCATTATTAGCCAAATAAAATTTCCCATAAAAATCTTATTTACTGATAAATAATCCTCCGGCATTTCTGTTTTACTGTATTTTTAACTGCTGTTTCGACCTTCATCTGATTTCTACATCGGGTAGGCCAGAACAAGCCTTTGCATGCTGTGTTGATGTTTTGCTTTGTGTGCAAGCACTGCTATACAAAATAATTCTTATAAATTCAGACTTTGCAGAATTTGTTGCCTTAAAAACACAAAATTTACAATATATATTTTTTTATTTGATAAAAGCAGTAAATAATTTAAAATTTTAATTAAAAAAATGATATATTATATATGCTTTCCTTTTGGGTGTTTTCTTATATAAATCTTAAAAGTGTGGCATGCATTAGCATTCAGCCCAGTTTCTCTGTTTGGCTGGAATTTTTATGGTTTATGTGTTTTTCACCCATTCACATCTACACACATATTAGCCCATTTCCTAAAAAACACCATAAGGTCAGACGGAAAGCATCCATTCATGCATCCCTATACCTGCTTACAATTTCAAGGTCGTGAGGGCTTTCTGCCTATTTCCACAGAAATTGAGTGAGATGCAGGTTATACCTCTGGACAGGTTGCCAGCTTATCCCAGGGTCATACAGAGACACACAGGACAAACAACAATGCAAACACACATAGAACTACAGGGGAATTTAGCGAGACGAATTCACCTAATTGTCATAGTTTAGACTTTGGGAAGAAACAGCCAAATAATAGAAGAACCCATGCACAGATTGGGCACACATGCAAACTAACAGCAGCAGATCCGAGGTAATTGCAATCTGAAAAACACACACAAAGCGAAAAGACAATTAGGAGAAATTTATTGATACAATTACCTAAGCAGGAAACATAGCACTTAATTTTGATAGATATGCATGAACAGGAGCAAAGAATAGGGCTGGTTCCCCCCAGGCCGGAAACTGGTGGTGGAGTGGAGATAGATGAAGTTGGTCAGTCTGTAGACTGCTGGTTAGCGAGATGGTATGCTGAGCTCTATGGGGAGATCCAGCAGATTGCGTGAGCTGATTCTAAAGCCTTAATCAGGGACCTGGAAGATGGAAGGCCAGTTTGGATAAAACTGGTTGGAGAACCTGTCCATGATGAGCAAGCATGAAGCGACAGTGGAGAGGAAAAACTCCCTGTTGGGAACAAACCTTTGGCAGAACCAGGCTCATCATGGCCGTCTTCTGCCGGACTGGTTAAGATGAGACCAGGAACGCAGTAAGAGTCCTAGAGGAATGACACTCTGATGAAGCTTTAGCTACGATGGTGGAGGAGGGGCTGGAGGTGGGTTGAAACGGTGTCATCTGAATGAAATCACACAGCGGATCCGCTGCCTGAGCACATTAGCAGACAGGTGCGTATTGGAGGCATTTTAAGACTAACTTTGGATGCCGATTGGCTTTCGTGGAGGTGTGGTTTAAAGTTGATTGGCTGTGACGCAGGTGGAAGTATGAAAAGCAATTGAGTTTCTTCAGTTGATCTTCCGCCTAGGCTCCATGATTCAAATCAAGAACCTTCTTGTTGCAAAGTAAAGGTGCTAAAAACAAGGATAACCAATGTGGCATCAAGCAAGTTCAGAGAACATCTTTGAATTGTTGGAACAGTTGCAAATTATTCTTGAATCCTTTACAGCCTCTGCAAAGGTTACTTCCCAGAGTTTTGTAAATATAGCTCCATATTCTCATAAAGTCTGAACTGGCTCCTTGTGCCTGCTCAAGAAAAGAACCCCCTAGGCTGATTTTGCTGCCATCTCTTGCTATGTGGATGATGGTTTCCTGTTAAATACATGCAAAATGTCACCTGTGAACTTTGGCACCCACTAAAGAGTAAACATTTTTAGCTGCTTCTCGCAGTAAATCTCGCTATGTATGGGGTAGTATGGAGTCTAGGTGTGTTTCCATTTTTTTTGTTTTTTTGAAGTATTGCTTCAGAAAAGCTTGGTGGAAACGGCATAATTAAAAAAAACTCAACTTTCTGGCTTTTTTATCACTTTGCTTCAACCAAATGGAAACGTAACAAGTTTGTCAATACTTACTAAGAATAAACTGTACAAATTCACATTTGTTTAGTGGTTTGTCAGATAAAATTCAATAAAATGCATTCAGGTTTGCATTTGTTTTGTGTTAAAATGTGAAAAACAAATCAAGGTATGTTTTCCATGAAAGCATACCTCTTTTTTTCCCGCTTCCTTTTCTGTGACACGATCTGTCTGGCTCTTCCTTCCTCAAACTACTTGCCTGGTTTTTTTCATCTATAGACTCTACACAGTGGATTTACCAGTGGGTTACACCTTCCTGACTAAAATGCTCCACCCATCTTAAACTGATCTAACAGGTCTGCATGTGAAAAACATCCAGGTGATTAAAGAGTTATTTCCCTTCTACGGGAGGAGAGTTGACACACAACTCTTCCTGATCAACCGGGCTGGATATCTGTGTTTTAAAATCTCACACTCCTTATTCAAGGTAAGGCTCTCTATATTTTTTACCTTTTACATAGAAATCTGACTCTTAAGAAATTAGATGGAGTTTAAATTGGTTGCTGAACTTTGCCATAGTTTGACTGAACACAAAAGACACAAAGAAGTGACGAGAAAAGGCCATAAAAAGGCACAGATAATTAAGCTGTACCTATTTTTAAATGGTTCATCTACTTTAAGCCAAGACGTAAAAGTAGTCTCTAAAACTTGAAAGGAGAAAGAAATATGCTTTAAGGAAATTGACACTGAATTGTTTGTGCTTTATTTAGGAATCGATGACAAATAAAAAAAAAAAATCTTTGTTCAACATTAAAATGGAAAGTTACAAAAGAGAATTTGAACACTATTCAATAGAAAATGGCATTCCAGTTTTGATTCCTTGGTTTAGAGAAGGATATTCAACACACCTTACCCAGAGAGTAAGTTTAAGCGCCATCATCACTCCTGCTGAAGTGCTTACTTATGACGTAGAATACCTGATATGCTACATTCAATGTTAACGGTGGATTTTTCCTGTAAGAGATGCACCATGGTTATATATTAACTGCTGTTGTTTAGCAGGCAGGTTTCAAATTCATGGCGAAGTGATGGGAAGGAGTGATGTTTGTGCTCTGTGACAACAAAGAAGAAGGACAAACCTGTAGCAAAGAGATGATGAGGTCAGCTGCAATAGGCTGGAAAGGCGACGCTGCATTTGGAAACAAATAGGAAAACAAATTGCCGTCCAGCAATGCAGTCTTTCTCAAAGAAGATAAAGCATGAGATATTTTTTCACTGTTTTTGAGAGGCATAGCAATACATAAGGTATGGACCAATATAATGTCTGGTGGAAACTGGTTATTGTTATCACCTGAATAAGTCTGAGACTTGAAAGTACTTTTTAACACTAAAGGTACCATAGCCAATCACTGCGAGGCTACTTTGACAACACTCTTTGGAGTTGAAGTTCCTTTAGTAAGCAGAAAAGACAAAAAAATATATATTTTTTTTTTGTTTCAGTGAGGTTTTAAAGAATGAAGACAGATGTAAGTCGCTAAAATATATATCTACAGTTTACCAAGGCGGAGAGAGACCAATACTTTCAAGAAGATAACATAAAGGCTATAAGAACTAGAGCTTACTTTGTCACTTTGTGTCAAATATTCAAGACAACTCTAGCAAAAGAACAGGAACCTGTTAGACCAGAAAAAAGTAAAGAAAACAACCAGACATTTTCCAGTGTCTTTGGAAATATTTTGAGGCCTCTGATGGGAAAGAATTTGTCAGACATAATTCTCTGATCCCCAAACCCTGAAGCCTTCTGGAAATATTTCAGTTAATGTAAGAATTTTAATGCCTTATGGATAAAGAGATAGAAAGCTTGTTTATTAATGCCTGCCACACTAACTTATTAATTAATTAACCTAAGATGCTAAATGTAATTTAAAATATCAACTCAACTTAATATTTTGGTTTTGAATAAAAAAAAAAAAATTATATTCTTTCTTACAACACAGCAACTACTCATAAAGTATCAGCAGGTTAAAACTACACTGAATCCTGAGATTGAAAGTTGGCCTCCAAAAAAGTTAGTTATACAATGCTTCGGCATCATCAGGAACAAGTGCATGTAAGGCATGAACTCCGTCTATCACAAAATGACATGCCTGATGCGTCCCAAAAAGTATCACTCAGAGGGATAAATTGCACAGCCTCTAAGTCCCAGTGGAGCAGGTCCAAGGCTCAGACTGAGATTAATGTTCCTGTCTGGATCATCCATTTATGAGGAAGGTAAAGTGTGGGTAGCAACAGCGGTGACTATACGTGTCTGCCTTTAAATAGTCTGTGTTTTGATCCTGGTGGCATTTGTAGAGTTCAGTCTTTTTATGCCGTGTAATTTAATAGTCAGAAATGCTGGATGAGAAAGTAAATGGAATCTGATTTGACAGCTCAATATGTCTAAAGTGATGCTGAAACGTTGACAGAAAGCATTTTTTAGAACTCAAATACGAGGGATTAGACGAGACAGAGCTGAAATGGAACAGTGCGCAGTGAAGCTGTTATCCAACTTTTTTTTCCTCCCCTGTCAGACTGCCAGCGTTTATCAGAATGAGATGTAAATGTAAAAGAGGGGCAATTTTTTTTTTTCTTGTATTGGAAAGTCTGGCGATTTTAAAGCAAAAAACCTTTTCTTATAGCTAAACTTGTATAACAAAACCAAGTTTCTACTTTGGAATGAAATAAAATATAGATCTTTAAAGTCTGTCGCCAGTCAATCCAAAATAAAAACTGAATTATTGAGGGGCTTTTTTATTGTTAAGAAATTGTTTCTAATTCAGATCACACTCCCATGTATGAATGCACAAATAAAAGCGCCTTGTCCTTCGAAGTCGTCAGACTCCGATGGATGCATGGGATCACACTGACGATTGCTGCTTCCTGTTAGGCAACATTTTTCTAACACTGTTCAAACATCTAAAGCTAATAAATTGAATAGGATTCGTTTGTCCTTTCTGCAGTGGGAGGCTCTGATCATGAGTCACCCACTTAAGTCTAATGAGTCAGTTTAAAAAAAAAACTCCTTAAAGACTGAATGTAAAATATGCTTGAAACTTGGAATACATTTCTGACTCTATTGCCTTGCTGTTTGGATTCCACCCAGCTCATCAACATGAAGCTCATGAAGCAGGGCCTTTTTTTTTTGTATGGTACTATTAACGTCACGTCAGGGAATAAGCAGTGGCTTTTTTGTTAATTTAAAGTCAACTTAGTGCCTACAGTATGTAAAGATGCTTCAAACACTGTGATCTTCTTTTTTTCACAAGTTAAACCTTTTACTTTAGGGTTATCAATAGAAATGGTTCAATACATATGCAATCAAACCTAACAATACAATACAATCACTATTTTGGGATTGTTTTTTTTTTTTCTATTTTTGAAAATTAAGTAATGAGGCAATACGAATAATTGTCTTGATGCCAATAAAGAGCCCAACAGATTTTGCTTTCACAAGTGGAGCAGTACGGCTATCGCCATAGTGTTCCGCTTGAAGTATAAATATAAATGGCTTTATTATGATTATGCAGGGAGTATTACAGATAATATGGACACTGCAATCTAAGAACAGGAAAGGAAAAACAGTAAAAAGGGGAAAAGATGAAGGAAAGAGGAGATAAAAGGGAGACAATGATTAAACATCTCCTGTCTGCTTCATCACCTGCAAAGAGATGTAAAAAAGAATGGCAAAACCAACGGATATATTATAAGAGATACAATAAAGTAAAACATTGATACTATTGCTGAAGTCTTTTATCAAATTTAAGGTTATCAAAATTGATGGAACTGTGTACAGAAGCAGCCAGGGGGGATATAGTAACAATGGAGAAATCCACAGCTCAATCTGTTAACATGACAGCTATTAGTTGAACAATTTACAAAATTGGTGTTAATTGATAGACGTGAGAAGAAAGCCGTTATTGAAAGAAAATCTCTTGAATTCCCATTTAATGGAGGCATCTTGTATTAGGGAGAAGGTGGTGTGGTAAGGAGAGACAAAATCTGAAGTGTTAGTTTTAGAATCATAAGGGGCAAAAGGTTGACATTGTCTGCATCTATTCATCTTCTCTCTCAAAATGAGAGTTGATGTAATCAACCGATTTTCCTTAGATAGAAAACTTTGAACTAATCTGACTGTATGATCTGGTTGATTTGTCTTTGTAAAGTCTCTTGGGATGACATGTGTTGTAAATTGGTGCTATATGAATAAACTAAATTGAATTGAATGTAACCGCTTATCATTGCAGTGTTGTGGGGCTTCGGCCTATCTCCAGTGTTGATCGGGTGAGAGGCAAATAATACATTCCCCAGTACACACTAGAGTAACAGTAGTAAACTTTTGTGCCAGCATTATATTGTGGCCATTGTTTTTTGAGGGAGGGAAACAGGTTGAAGTCGATTGGAGGATGAGTGGTGCAAAATTAAAGAGAAACTCAATGATTTTCATTTCAGTAGAAATTTTAACACCATAAATCTATCATTCTGTTTCTACAGTGCTCCTGACCTTCCAGCTGAGCATATGAAACACTGTTATTCTGGATAAATTAAATTAATATTTTTTCTTGCTTTTGTGACACAGCTACTCGAAACATCAAATGACTAAATCTGGGGGAAAAATGTAACTACAGGGAGCAGCTGAATGGAAAAAGGGCATTGATGTTTCAATCAGAAATTATTGTATGGATTCCCCAGTACTCCTCTTGCACAAGTTTACCCCTCCTTAGGCAAAGCACTTTGTCCTAAGTAGTTCACCAATCTGTGTGTATGAATAACTGAACATTTGGGAGTGTGTTTGGGTTCCTGACAGGTGCAGATCCAATTAGGTTTGTGAAAAAATGTCAAGTCCAGATAATTACCAGGATCCAATGTAAACAACTGAGATGGTCCTGATAAACACAAATCAACCACTATATTTTGGATTAAACATGCCATGTTAAGATATTAAATCTACTGAGATGCTTTCACTTGGTCTAACAGATCATCATCATTATTTGTAAAGTCTTTTTCAAACCTCTCTGGAAAAATTCAAATGTCTTTATTTGTAACCTTAGCTTTCTCTACCTTTACTCTTTGATTAACTTTCCTTTCCCCTTTTTTTTTAGGTGAAAATCATCGAGACATTTGTCAAACACATCTACTGACAATCTTCAACTTCTCGTTCTGTTCATTCACCAACTTATAAGTAGGAAATCATGAACTGGGGTGCTCTGCAGGCACTCCTTTATGGAGTTAACCAATACTCCACTGCCTTTGGCCGGGTCTGGCTCTCTATGGTGTTCATCTTCCGGGTCATGGTGTTTGTGGTGGCAGCTCAGCGAGTGTGGGGGGATGAAAACAAAGACTTTGTCTGCAACACTAAACAGCCAGGCTGTACCAATGTTTGTTACGACCACTTTTTCCCCATTTCACACATCCGTCTCTGGGCCCTGCAGCTCATTTTTGTCACATGCCCATCGCTCATGGTCACAGGTCATGTCAAATACAGGGAGATGAAGGATTTGAAGTACACTAAACTACACGAGGGGAAGCACATGTACGCCCACCCTGGAAAGAAACGTGGAGGGCTTTGGTGGACATACCTGGTAAGAATAATGGATATTCAACAATTAGTTATTCTTTATTTTGCATTGAAATTAGCTAAAGTTGTGGTTAAAAGTAATGGGAAAATATGTAAAACCTTTCATGCACTCATATGAACAGTTATATTTAGATTTTTCTTTGCCAGTTTTGACATAAATCCATTCCATTTTGCAGCTGAGCCTTATCTTCAAGGCTGGCTTTGATGCTGGCTTCCTCTACGTCCTGTACTACATCTACGAGGGTTATGACATGCCACGCTTGACCAAGTGCTCCGTGTTCCCCTGTCCTAATATAGTGGATTGCTACATATCCCGACCCACAGAGAAAAAGATCTTCACCCTCTTCATGGTGGTCTCGTCTGCTGTCTGTATCTTAATGTGTATCTGTGAGATGATCTACCTCATCTTCAAACGTATCAAAAAGTTTATGAAGAAGAGGAAGGAGGCAGAAATGAAGTTATTTGCAGAGACTCACGAGATGAAACCACTCTCACGACCAAGGTCGCAATACAAGTCCAGAACTAAAGAAAGAGTGGATCCTACAGCTTCAAATCATAACATCACCAATAGTACAGTGGAAGAAAAGTCTTCCAAGGTATAAAAATTTCCGATTCATCCAATCCTGCTGAAAAGCAAGAAATAAACTTTTAAAGCCATTATAACAAACTCCATAGAGAGGAACACCATTGCTTAAAGCAATCTTTGAAAGTGGATTTGTAAATCACCTCTATCAGTTTATCACATAAACTGATATTCGATACAAGCTCAACATGGACTAATTCAAACAATGAAGTCTACGGTGAAAAAAAAAACTTTTGACTTGCATGTTTGAAAAGACTATTATGTTTGAGTGTCTTTATTTCTGGAGCCACTATGTCTTTATTTTAAAAAACGACAAATTGTAAGCCCTCTTTTTGAGATGTTCAGCTTTGATACGCCCTAATTTTCCCCTGAAAACTTTGCTCAAATGTTCAAAATTTCACAAGCAGTAGATGCTGGAGTTGGAAAAATATATTTTTTTCTGTTCGACATGTCACATCAACCGAAGAGAGAAGCTTATCTGGGAGCTGGCGGGGAGATGGACAGCGCTTCTGATGCAGAGGGCTATGATCACTCCCCTGAAACTATTAACGCCTAAATTAACTTACAAAGTGGAAACCTGCCATCAAAATATGTTTGCTTTTTATTATTTGGTGTTGCAGTTTGTACTATATACCTGAAAAATATAACATCTACTTGCAGCTGCCACGAACAGTAGGGCGGCATAGCCTGAGGTAGCTGCTGCTGGGGATTCCCAGTGACAGCGCACCGTTGATATGTGAGGATCAGAGAGCCTCAGACAGAGTAATAATATTTTAAGGCAGGATCGTAATCTTGATGAACTGATTACGCAGACGATGTTTTGAGGTAGACTTTCTTGCATAAAAATATATTAAAACTAATTTTTACCAGCTGATCACAGCAAATATAGCAAAGCCACTCTGCCATCGAACAAAGGAGCAGCAGAAACATCAGATGTATCTGTACAAACTTTACTGGACGCACTTCATGAGCATCAAAGATCCCCTTTAGTCTTGTCTAACCTTAATGTGTACAAGCATCAAAAATGAAGCAGCAGGTGCTTTTTTGATGCTCAAATTGTACTGTGAAGGTAGCATTAAACGTTCGGATTATTGGAATTAACCTAGGAAACCTAACATTGTACCTGAAAATGACCTAATGTCTTCCTTATGAAATTTCCACCTCTAGTCAAGTTCACATTTCTCAAAATCATGACGAAAATAGTGTTGTGACGAAGACAAAAAGTTTGCTGCATTCCACCTCAAAATGCAGGAAATAGCATTTCAGAGAGTCTAAATTTCATAATTTCCTGGGGTAGGATACCCCCGGACCTCCCTAAACCACACAAACACTAAAGAAGTGATACACCAAGGTATACACCCTATGAAATATTCCTAGCTAAAAGTCTAGTAAGAGGCGTAAATAATCAAGACCCACAGACAAAGTAAATTATGCTACTGACATGGAGAAAAGCAACAACCACTATTGATTAACAGATAAATTAACAGAGCACATTGTTGAATGGAACAGTGGGGTGAATGGCTTACAGCTGGAATGTTTTCAAAACTGTCTTGTCAGTTTTATGAAACTTTTCTACTGAACAAATGTAACTTCATAAACTGCTTTTAATACTACTTTCATAAAAGAATCAATAAATACATATTGAAAATGGGATTAGGTGTTGAAAATGTTGCCTTTATACTTTGTATTTATCATTGAAACCAATAAATGCCTACATAGTAAAATTGTTCCAAAAGTTTATTTTTAAACCGAGTGAAAAGCATATATTCCATTTGAATGAAGAAAATCCTGGAAAATTCCTCGGCATTTTGACATGTGAGTGACTCAAAGTATTAGACAGACAAGACAGTCAGCTGGGTCTGAAAAGGAGAAAAAATTTCCTAAAGTTTTTGCTTATCTATAGTTCAATCTGAAAAACTTAGAGAAAAGAGAATTAGAAGAAATTTATGGATACAATTACTTGTCTTTGGCACTCAGACCTTGGCCGGAAAAATAGCACTTAATTTTCATAGATATGCATGAACAGGAGCAAAGAATAGGGCCATTTCCCCCCAGGCCTGAAACTGGTGGTGGAGTGGAGATAGATGAAGTTGGTCAGTCTGTAGACTGCTGGTTAGCGAGACGGTATGCTGAGCTTTATGGGGTGATCCAGAGGACTTTGTGAGCTGATACTAGAGCCTTACACAGGGACCTGGAAGATGGAATTCCAGTTGGATAACAGGTTGAGAGAACCTGTCCATGATGAGCAAGCATGAAGCGACAGTGGAGAGGAGTGGAGTGTCCATCACTCTGATGAAGCTTTGGCTACGATGTTGGAGGAGGTGGGCTGAAACATAGTCATCTGAATGAAGTCAGAGCACATCCACCGCCTGCGCACAGGAGCAGACAGTGCGGATCAAAGGCCTTTTAATTTGAACTTTGGATGCTGATTGGCTTTCGTGGAGGTGTGGTTCAAAGCCGATTGGCTGTGTTGCAGGTGGATGTAGGAGAGCAATTCGTTTCTTCAGTTGAACTTCCGCCTGAGCTCCATTATAGAAACACAATTTTCTCAACTTTATAGAAGTAAGTTTTCTAAAGCAGGCTGTAAATATTTCTCAACATACACTGACTAATGTTTTACAGATAGATTATAAAGATTAGTATGAGAGTAAATTTCTAATTGGGGAACAGATGCGGTCCAAACTCATTTTTACCATCACTTCCCAGGGAATATCAGAAGTGCTCAACCATCCTTCTCTTGAAGTCTTTGAGATTTGTACATTTGCACACACATTGAGACAGGGGGTTAACATTCAAATGTATAAACCCAGTTAAGCAACAAGAATTACAGAAAACAGAGACCCATAACACTTAGAACACAAAAATAAACTATTAACTCGTATTTTTGCCATTTCTCTTCACTCAGGTCCATCCGATATTTCTGTGAAAAGTCCATCTTTGGCATGATGGGTCTAATATGTTTTTTTCCCTACATGCAGAAACACTGAGATTGGAAAAGTTAGAATGTTTATTTTCAGTTAAACAAAAAACAGGAATCTGGTTAACACAGCTTGGTGGGACCTGCGGCCAGGTATCCAGATGCAACTGCACAGAAGGAGAGAGAGTAAAGGGGAGATCATGGTTGGTGGGAAAAAGTAGATGACTGAATGCTCTGTTATTACTTGAACTTGCAGCCAGAATTGGAGGGTGGTATGTTGTTCCAGTTGTAGGGGCCTTGGCTGGTTGAAGGCAGACAGGTTACTTTATGGAAGCTCAAGGAGCAGCGGAGCGGACTGTCAACAGGAGACTATGATGAGGTCTGAGTTCAGAAGAGAGGAGTTGTGGGACTCTTGGCATCTCGAGAGGTTTTCCTCCAAGGCTGGAAGGACTCGAAAAACCCCAGAGGACCTGAAGGCTTCCTGCCAAAGATTTAAAAGAAACAAAAGCCAAGAGCATGAATGAACTTGAAAGGTTCAGAGAATTACTCAGCAAAGTTCTGAGGGTCTAGAGTACCCAAAAACAGGCAAACACTCTGGCAAAGAGGTGATGACAGTCAGCTGCTCATATACTCCTAAGGTGATGAATGATTCATTGCAGTTGTGGGTAATTGAGACGTGTAGGAAAGCCCTCCAAGACAGAGTAACCAGATGGCACCATCTGGTTAACCCCACAAACTGGAACCCAACATTCTATAATATATATATATATATATACACACACAGAGTGTAGATATACACATCCTGTGATGGAAGTTACAAAATATTGAGCTAATGCATGATTAAAGCTTATTACTTTTAAGGAGTTCTGGATAACACATTCAATTTAAAGAAAAATTGGGGGTCTATAAAGAAATATTAGTTTTGTTATTCTAACAGTTCTACTCCTAATTTTATTGTTGGAATCCAGGAGGTTGTCCCACTTTGACTTTATTTATAGTAACAACTATGTTATATCCATTTTAAAAATGGTAAGGATATTAACCTTTGAATGCAGTGGGTTCAGAGACTGCTATCAGTAAACTGGTGGATAACACAATGCCAGTCTTAAAAAAAATGAGAATCAGATCCCAATGGCATTCAAAGAATAGCAACATTTCCTGTTAGGATTCAGACTGAGGACCCAGAAAATACAAGAACACAACAGGAAATAACTTTTAAAAGATTTGAGGGAATAATGCAGGTTATTCAGGATCAGGGGAGCCAGAGCCTCTGGAGGGGAGAGAACAGGTAAGAGGCTGAGATTGATGATTAAAGGTTCAGACTGCTAAGCCAATAACCTTCCTTAATATCCAAGTGGGGTGTCTTGGTTCCAGAAAACTTTGGTTGCTTGACTGTGAATTTTCACTGAGGCTTGGCAGACAATCTTGGTCAAAGGAGGTCCAGGGTCAGAGGCAGGTGATCAGATTTTCAGAGAATCCAAAACAGAATCCAGGGACAAGGTCAGGGCACAGAAACAGGTCAGGGATCCAGGCAGCACAAAAAAAACAGATCCAACAAGGGCTAGGCAGGCTCAAAAAATCAGGAGGCAGAAACCAGTCAGGATCAGGTAGACAGACAAAAAAATGCTGGATACTTTCTAGCCAAGCCTTTCAGGCAATCTGGCACTGTCAACTAGACAGAGGCCTGCTTAAGAAGGCTGGCAAACAGGTGAGAGGAATCAGTGGCAATCAGGCTGAGCAGTGGCAGCACAGGAGGGCCAAATGCACAAAGCAGAAGGGGGGGGAGAATGAAAACAAATACTAGTTGACAGGCCAGAAACATATGCTCTGTTCGAAAACCTAGGACGCATCCTTAGAAGACCGGATTCGAAGGCCGATTACGTCATAGCGCGGCACCGGTGTCTGGTCGGATTCCAAGAGTCCTCGTTATGCGGCCTTAAAATGCGTCCTTCTTTTTGCCCGATTTGAAGGACTGGTCTGATGTATCCTCGGTATTCTTGGATATCCCAGGATTCATTGCGAGACCAAGCAAGCTGTGATCAGAGGAAAGATTACTTGGCGCCGAACAGTGGTGAAAATTGGAAGTTCAGTTTAATATAATACAAGTCATTTAATTGTTTTAATGGTTATTGAGTCAGATATGTGGAAGTAAAGTTTGATTTATCTAAAGCTTTTAATCTGTTACTGTGTAAATGGGTTTGGCTATAATTTAAGGACAGATTCTAATATATTTGCAGGGTGGGGGACTGTAAATCTGATAGGATTTTTATCTTTTTATTGCTGTTTTGCACAATATGCTTAACTAAGTATTTTTTGTTGTTGAATATTAGAGATTTTGCAGATAGATTTTTTATAAATACATTGTTTAGATTTACTTATATATTTCTACCCCTTTTATAGAATAGAATAGAAAATCCCTTTATTGTCCCACAATGTGCAAATTTACAGCAGCAGAAAGATTATTGAAAATGGTCACACAAATGGGACCTTAGAAAAATGTATAAGAATAACATAATAGGGAAGAGTTAAAATATAAACAATACAATACTGTAAAGTATTTTAACAATATAAAACTGGAGAATAAATAACCAATATGCAGCTATGGACATTTTTACAGTAATGGATATTTGAAAATAGCAGCAACATCAGAGATGTGCAGAATGACAGCAGCATGTTATTTAACTGACTAAGGTTTCTATCCTTACATTTGATTTTATTTGTTCCTGCTCCCGGTGGTTGGAACCTTTATTCCACTCTGGATTCTTGTGAGTGTAGTCTTTGTTCACTTCACAATAAAAAAGAAATAAATAAACAGTTTTGAAAACTTCTGTATTCATTCTTTTCCTGCTTTGTGTGTCAACGTTCATGGTTGCTAAGCAACAGAGCATACGGCGGTAAAACCCGCCGAAGGGTAGACCTGGTCGAATTCACAGCCTAAACTCTTCCGGTCTCCTTATTTTCAAGGACTTCGAAGGATCCAGTCTAGGTAGACCGCGTCCTTGGAGGACACGTCCTGGGTTTTCGAACAGAGCCTTAACAATTTCCACAACTACTTTAAGCTTAAAGGAATAGTACACCCAAAACATGATTAGCCTTCAATTTCTACTCACCCCCATGCTGAACAACACTCTGGAGTACTTTTTTGATATCTCAAATGCATCTGGAGATCTGGAAGGCTTCTTGCTGTCTGCTGACATTCAAATAATGGAGGTGCCCAGCGCCCGAGGCAGAAAGGTCCATAAAAGTCCACAAAAAACGTTTCAATATTCCTCCATACTGGTCGTCCAATGTATTCCAAGTTTCCTGAGTGGGTAGCATCCAGAATTTACTCGAAACGAAGTCATTTAGAATGTTTTTAGAGCATAAACAGTAGTGTATAGGATTTCCTGAAAGCGCGCACATGCGCGATCCCGACGCTACGGAAGCCGTTAAATTTTGTTTGGAGGAACGGGCCACATAACAAAACAATAAAAAGTTATGAGGTAAAATCTGACTGAGGATGGTGCAAAGTTATAGACGTAAATTTCCTAAATTAAAAATAAAACAGTTTTAAATCCTGCATCAAACATCATAGTGTATCTCGGCATTGTGTCCCTACCTTTCTTTTAAGCCAGCAAGGTGGTTTACATTAGCCCCTGATTACTGGCTTCTATGCAAAAACCTCCCTATAGAAATGTCACTTGACTGGAAAATGGTATAAACCCACTGCACTATACAATAATGTGGATAATATATATTCACATTACACTGTAACAAGTTCCCATTTTTCAAGGATTGGTTTAATGAATATAATAATGGAGTGGTTTCTGCAAAAACATGACCCAACCCACCAGTTTAAAATATTTCACTTGGTATGAGGTATCGATTCATGTGTCCAACTTTTACACAAAAATATACCAATTCTTTATTGCAGTATTTTAGACTATTTATTTTGCAGTTGAACAATTCATAAGGACATCCCAAGTGAATTTGATAAAGATTAAATTATTAGAATAATATCCATGTGTGACTTTCAAAATAATTTCTAAAGTGAAAGAAACACCCTTCAATATTACGATTATTAAATATCCATCTAAAGAATTTATTTGTCGACATTTTAATATAGTTCTTGCACTTTTTGCGACGATGATATTGAAAAAACCCTTGTGTGATGACAGTTATGTCATTCTTTTGATGACATAATTTTCCGGACTAATAAACAAAAACGGAAAACAAAGATGATAAACTGTGGGAATAGTTGGGAGGGTTGCTTCTGCTCTGAGAAGGTTACAAGTACCCGGCCGGTTCCATCGCCACAACCGGCATTCTGGCTCTCTGAGCAAGACCAAATCGCTCCCCAAGGGGATAGGTTAGATGTTAATTTCTCCATTGTGAGCTCAATAAAGTTAAATTTCTCATTTAATTTTAACCACTGTTAGTCTATGTTTAATTACATAAAATAATGAACAAGGAATAAAATACAGAAATGCCTATCTAACATTATTCCATGACCTTAATTTCTATGCACATTCTTTGACACTTATATAAGGACCCAATGCCCAAAAAATGTTTCACTTCAGACAAATATTTCCAATGATACAAATGCATTTATAATGTTTGTCCAGTTTTATTACATTTTTTTATTGCATTTCGAAATGTAAAACGGGAGCTTTAAACTGAGCAACAGCAAACGCCGGAAAACAGGCATTGCTCTCCTTATTACAGATATCTTTATATCTGTTGAACTCAAACAAATCATGAGCTTTTCTCATGGACAGGTACGGTTACTTTGTCTTTTCTCTTTTTAACTCCATTCACATAATTAGTAACCTAATAAGAGTAATAATTGTCTCGTATGTCCAGAGAACATCTTTAAACAACCAATTGCTGTAACAGTTGCCAATCATTCTTAATAAAATTTATTTTTGTTTTGCAATCCTAAACCTAAACTAAACAAGTCTAACTTTGGCTGTATCTAATTGCTTTTCCTGATTGAAATGTATGTTTCTGCACCATTCTTGAATCCTTTATAGCCTCTGCAAAGGTTATTTCCTGGATTTTTGTCAATTTAGCCCCATATTCCCATAAACTCTGAACTGCCTCCTTGTGCCTGCTGAAGAAAAGAAACCCCATAGGCTGATTTTGCTGCCATGTGTTGCTATGTGGATGATGACTTCCTGTTAAATACATGCAAAATGTCACCTGCGTGTGTTCCTCAACCGCTAATGCGACTGACAGATTAACCTACCTGAGTTGTAAACTTCGGCACCCACTAAAGTGTAAACCTTTTCAGCTGCTTTTCTCAGTTAATCTTGCTATATATGGGGTAGTATGGATTTTAGGTGTATTTCCATTTTTTTATTTAAATTTTGAAGTATTGCTTCAGAGAAGCTTGGTGGAAATGGCACAATTTGAAAACAACTCAAATTTCTGGCTTTTGTATCACTTTGCTTCAACCAAATTGAAAAGTCACAAGTTTGTGAATATTTACTGAGAATAAACTGTACCACTTCACATTTGTCTAGTGGTTTGTCACCTAAAATTCAGTAAAATGCATTTAGGTTTGCATTTGTTTTGCGTCACAATGTGAAAAAACAAAAGTTATTTTTACCCTAAAAGCATACCCCTTTTTTTTCGCTTTCGTTTCTGTAACATGATCTCTCTGACTCTTCCTTCCTCAAACTACTTGCCTGTTTTTTTTCATCCTCTGACTATACATAGTGGATTTACCATTGGGTTACACCTTTCTGACTAAAATGCTCCACCCATCTTCAACTGACTTAAAAACATCCAGGTGATTAAAGAGTTATTTCCCATGCATGACAGAAGAGTTGACACACAACTCTTTCTGATCAACCGGGCTGGATATCTGTGTTTTAAAACCTCATACTCCTTATTCAAGGTAAGGCTCTCTATATATTTACTTTTTAGATAGAAATCTGAATATAGAAATTGGTTGCTGAACTATGCCATTGTTTGACTGAACACTAAAAAAACAAAGAAGTGTCAAGAAAAGGCCCTGTAAAAGCACAGATAATTAAGCTCTGCCTAATTTTAAATAGTTTAACTACAAGACGTAAAAGTAGTCTTTGAATATGGAAATGAGAAAGAACTATGCTTGAATTGTTTGTGCTCTACTCAGGACTCAAATTACAAATAGAAAAATAAAATCTTTGTTCAACCTAAAAATGGAAAGTTACAAAAGAGAACCTGAACACCATTCTAGAGAAAATTGCATTCCAGTATTGATTCCTTGGTTTAGAGAAGGATATTCAACAAATATTACTCAGAGAGTGAGTTTAAGTGCCATTGTCACTTCTGCTGAAGTGCTCACTTATGACGTAGAATAACTGATATGCTACTTTCAATGGATTTTTCCTGTAAGAAATGCACCATGGTTATATATTAACTGCTGTTGTTTAGCAGGCGGGTTTCAAATTCATTGCAGAGTGATGGGAAGGGTTGATGTGTGTGCTCTGTGACAACAAACCGAAGGACAAACCTGTAGCAAAAATATGATGAGGTCAGCTGCAGTAGGCAGGGTAGGGGAAGCTGCATTTGGAAACAAATAGGAAAACAAATTGCACTCCAGCAATGCAGACCTTCTCAAAGTAGATAAATCGTAATATATTTTTTCACTGTTTTTGAGAGGAATAGCAAACATAAGAGATGCACCAAGATAATGTCTGGTGGAAACTGGTTATAGTTATGACTTGACCAAATCTGAGACTTGAAAGTATTTTTTAAGTGAAAAAGTACCATAGCCAATCACTGCGAGGCTACTTTAAGAGCAGTCTTTGCTTTAGTAAGCAGAAAAGACTCAAGAAAGTTGTTTTTTTAAGTTTCAGTGAGGTGTTCAAATATTAAGACAGATGTAAGACGCTAAAAACATATCTGCAGTTCACCAAGGCTGAGAAATACCAAGACTTTCAAGTAGATATCATAAAGGCTGTAAGAACTAGAGCTTATTTTGTCACTTTGTGTCAAACCTTTAAGACAATTCTTGAAAATAACCCGTTACATTTATTTTTTATCACTCAAATACGAGGGATTAGACGAGACAGAGCTTAAATGAAACAGTGTGCGGTGAAACTGTTATCCAACTTTTTTTTTTCTCCCCTGTCAGGCTGCCAGCGTTTATCCGAATGAGATGTAAATGTAAAAGAGGGGCAATTTTTCTGGCTTTTATTGAAAAGTCTGGCAATTTTAAACGCAAAAAAAAAAAATTTATGGCTGCACTTGAATAACAAAATCAAGTTTCTACAATCAAGCCGAAATAAAAACTGAATTATTGGAAATAGATCAATCCGATCACAACACAAAAAGAAAGCGATCTGTCCTTTGAAGTCGTCAGACTCTGATAGGAATCACGTTGACGAATGCAGCTTCCTGTTAGGCAACATTTTTTTCAAACACTGTTCAAACATTTAAAGCTAATAGACTGAATAAGAATTTTTCCTTTTTACAGTGGAAGGCTCTAACGATGAGTCACCCACTGAAGTATAATGAGTCACATTTAAAAAACTCCCTAAAGACTGAATGTAAAATATTCTTGAAACTTGGAATACATTTGTGAAACTATTGGCTGGCTGTTTGGATTCCACACAGCTCATCAACATTGCAGCAGGGCCTTTGTTTTTTATAAAGGACTCTTAAGGTAACATCAGGGAAAATGCAGTGGCTTTTTTGTTAGTGTAAAATCTACTTGGTGTCTGTGTAAAGATGCCTCAAATATCGTTATGCTCATTTTTCACATGTTAAATCTTTCACTTTAGGGATGTCAGTAAAATGGTTCAATACATATGCAATAAAACCTAACAATACAATATAAGCAACCTTTTCTGATTGCTTCTTTTTTTGAAAATTAATAAAAAAAACCTCCAGGTATCTTTTTTTTTGGGGAGCCAGGAAGAACATGGTAACACTGGAGAAATCCACACCTCAACCTGTTAACATGATAGGTATTAGTTGAGCAATTCACAAAATTGGTGTTAATTGATAAAAGTGAAAAGAAAGAGAAACAATTCCCATTTTCTGTTCACCAAAGGCCATTTAAGGGAGATAAATTGTATTAAGTAGAAGGTGATGTGGTTAGAAGAGAAAGAATCTGAAGTTTGCGAACAGTTTTGGTGAATCATAAATAGATGACATTGTTTGTCTCCATCTATTCATATTTTCTCTTAAAATGAAAGTCAATCAACCGGTTTTCCTTGAATAGATAACTTTAAACCAATGTGGCTGTATTATGTGGTTGAATTGTATCTATAAAGTCTCTTGAGATGTGTTGTGAATTGGCGCTATATAAATCAACTAAATTGAATTGAATTGAATGTCTGCCTATCTCCAGTGTTAATTGGGTGAGAGGCAAATAATACACTCCCCTTAACACACTAGAATAACAGGAGTAAACCTTTGCGCCAGCATTATATTGTGGCCATTGTTTTTTTTGAGGGAGGGAATCTTGTTGGAGTAGATTGGAGGATGAGTGGTGCAAAAATAAAGAGCAACTCAATTATTTTCATTTGAGTAAAAGTCTTTAACACCATAAATCTATCATTCTGTTTCTACAGTGCTCATGACCTTTCACCTGAGCATATGAAACACACTGTTATTCTGGATAAATGAAATGCATAGTTGTTCGTGCTTTTGTGACACAGTTACTTTAAACATCAAATGACTAAATCTGGAAAAAAAAAAGTTCAACTACAGGGAGCAGCTGAGTTGAAAAAGGGCATTGGTGTTACAATCAGAAATTAATTGTTTTGATTCCACAGTACTCCTCTTGCACATGTTTATCTGCCCTTAGGCAAAACACTTTGTCCTAAGTAGTTGACCAATCTGTGTGTAGAATAACTGAACTTTTGGGAGTGTGCTTGGGTTCCTGGCAGGTGCAGATTTTGTGTAAAAATGTAAACTCCAGATAATAACCAGGATCCAATGTAATCAACTGAGATGGTCTTGATAAACACTATATTTTGGATTAAACGTGCCATGTTAAGACATTAAATGTACTGAGATGCCTTCATTTGATCTAACAGATCATCATCATAATTTGTAAAGTCTTTGTCAAACCTCCCTGGAGAAATTCAAATGTCTTTATTTGTAACCTTAGCTTTCTCTACCTTTACTCTTTGATTACTTTCTTTTTCCCTCTTTTTTAGGTGGAAATTGTCGAGACATTTGTCAAACACATATATCGACGCTCTTCAACTTCTCTTTCAACCCGTTCTGTCCAATCACCGACACATAAGTAGGAAATCATGAACTGGGGTTCTCTGGAAGCGCTCCTGAGCGGAGTTAACCAATACTCCACTGCCTTTGGCCGGGCCTGGCTCTCTATGGTGTTCATCTTCCGGGTCATGGTGTTTGTGGTGGCGGCTCAGCGTGTGTGGGGAGATGAGAGCAAAGACTTTGTCTGCAACACTGAACAGCCAGGTTGTGTCAATGTTTGTTATGACCACTTTTTCCCCATCTCACACATCCGTCTCTGGGCCCTGCAGCTCATTTTTGTCACATGCCCATCGCTCATGGTCACAGGTCATGTCAAATACAGGGAGATGAAGGATTTGAAGTATGCTAAACAACACGAGGGGGAGCACATGTACGCCCACCCTGAAAAGAAACGTGGAGGGCTTTGGTGGACATATCTGGTAAGAATAATGGGTTTTCAAGCATTAGTTATTTTTTATTTTGCTTTTCATTTAGGTAAAGTTGTGGTTAAAAGTTCTGGGAAAATATGTAAAACTCTCATGCACTAAAAGTAACAGTCATGTTTTGAATTTTCTTTGCCAGTTTTGACATAAATCCATTTCATTTTGCAGCTCAGCCTTATCCTCAAGGCCGGCTTTGATGCTGGCTTCCTCTACGTCCTGTACTACATCTACGAGGGTTATGACATGCCACGCTTGTCCAAGTGCTCCGTGTTCCCCTGTCCTAATATAGTGGATTGCTACATATCCCGACCCACAGAGAAAAAGATCTTCACCCTCTTCATGGTGGTCTCTTCTGCAGTCTGTATCTTCATGTGTATCTGTGAGATGATCTACCTCATCTTCAAACGTATCAAAAAGATTACGAAAAAGGTCCAACACAGGTCCTATTCTTCACTCAGAGTGGATCCTACAGCATCAAATCAGAACATCGCCAACAGTAGAGTGAAAAAAAAGCTTTTCAAAGAGGAGGTCTCCAACAAGGAGTCCGGAACCTCTAGGTTGCCATGGGAGTCAAAATCTTCAATCAATGTGGATCCTACAGCATTAAATCAGAACATCACCAACAGTATAATGGAAGAAAAGCCTCCTATGGTGGAGGTCGACAACAAGGAGTCTGCGACCTCTAGGTTGCCCGTGGAGGCAAAATCTTCAGTTAGAGAGGATCCTAAAGCATCAAATCAGAACATCACCAACAGTGTAGTGGAAGAATAGTCTACGGAGGCGGTCCTTAACAGGGAGTCCGCGACCTCTCGGTTGCCCTTGGAGGCTAAATCTTCAGTCAGAGTGGATCCTACTGCATCAAATCAGGACATCACCAACAGTGTAGTGGAAGAAAAGTCTACGGTGGTGGTCCTCAACAGGGAGTCCGCGACCTCTAGGGTGTCCTTGGAGGCAGTGTGTGGGGGTAGCAATGATGTTGTTTGATTAGACTTTTTGTTTTATAATGCACGAGAAACGCTTAATTATAAAAGAAAAAATACACACGCATGTTGAATGAAATTTGACTTTTATTTGTAACATTCTCTAAAAGTGAGTTTTCAATGGAAAAAAGTCACACCACTACTTTTAAGTAGTACGCTTGCTCATCTTTCTTCTTCTTTCATCTGGCTCATCTACCTGTTTTCCCTCACCCATCTGCTCTCCCTCATCCATCTGTTCTCCCTCATCCTGGTCTTTTTCTGTCTCTGTGTCTTCCCTGAACTCTTTCTCATCTCCTGTCCTGGTAGATTGTGATGGTACAGAGCCTCCCTGCTGTGACTGGCTACAATATAATAATATTAACCATCATGACAATAATAATAATAATAATAATAATAATAATAATAATAATAATAATAATAATAATAATAATAATAGCTTTAACAAATATGCCACATTAGTTTAAATAATGGGCTATTAGGGCAACATGACTGGAAGTCTTGTCATGTGGATATGACTTATGGTAGCCTACAAAATAATAGCTATTTTAATACCTGCTAATTTTGTACAAACCACTTAAAAATAAAATGTGAACAGCTTTTAAGATTTTCAATACGATAAACCCTCCTTTCTTGGCATTGTGCTGCAATTACTAAATCAATATACAATTAAGACAATTATGTTGCCTAAAAAAACCTATACAACAGAAAACGTTTGTCTTAACACATAGATTTGCAATTGCAAACTCTACCGAAATTATTTGTAGCCTATGTGGTCATCCTCACGTTATCTGTCATTGACTTGGGCTACAGTGTAAAACTTTATCTAGCTTTATCTAGCCTAACTAGTTTATCAGGTGACCAGTCGGCAAAAATGCTTGTTTGGTGCTGCTGAATGAGACTTTTTAACGCACAACAAAATGATTTTGCTTGATCTGTATATTGCCTGGCTAATGGGGCACGGGAGAAGCAGCCTGTCGGTGACGGTTCCTGCTATCTGAAGACGCTTACTGAACTGCTATGATGCTGCGCATCTGGCATGCCCTGCGGGCGACTGCGCGAGTTCACGTGACAAAGGAAGAGAGATAGGCTGCTCGGGTGTGCGCAAGGAGGTGGCTCATTTTGGGGCATTGTTTCAGTCGTTTTTAATGGCTCAGGTTTTCAAAAGATCATTAAACAGATACATGGAGGCAAAATATGTCTTTAAGTCATCAATGCACACATTCAGTGACACACACAAGCTGGACACCGTCTCATTCACAACACCTGTCACATCAACGAGGAATCAGAATCAGAAATACATTAATAATCCCAGGGCGAAATGACTTTGTTACATGACTCCATCTGTAATAGAGTGACTATAGGATGAGCTTGATATAAGACAATTTCATACAACCTATAGATAATTATGAGGTTCCCGCTCCATCTCTCCATCAGTTTTGGGGTCCTTGGCCTGGAAAATAAAAAAAGACCCATGTTAGGTACAACAATTCCCAGTTTACCCAATCCTGCTGAAAAGCAAAAAGTACTCTTTCAGAGCATTATAAACAAACTCCATGAAGAGGAACACCAGTGTGAAATACTCAGACCCCCCCCACCCCCCCCCCCCCCACCCCCGATAAACCCATGAGACCCCCCTGAAAGCCTCAAAAGCAAATTTAAAGGGGGTCTTAAATTGTGTCAAAAAAATGTCACTAAAATGTTTTTAAGCATGTCCAGTATTAAAATTCAAAACCTTTATTCACAAATATGTTCTGTTTTTTGCCAAGTGGAGCCAGCCAATCCTGCTTGCATATGCAAATTAGCCATGTGCTTTTCCGCAGTTAATAACACCGGCAACGCGGAACGGATTGCGTGAAGACAGCAGGTCTTCACTCCTGTTTGTGGACCTCAACGGGCCTCCTCTGGACAAATTCTACCCAGTTCCATTCGTCAGAAGCTGGATTAAAGCAGGACATGTGCGTTCATGAAAGAGAGAGACAGACAGACAGACAGTCTTTGTGCATGTGTGTGTTTTCATAGACTGACTGTCTGTTCCGGCTCTTGCCCGCTCCACCAGATTCACAGAAAGCTTCATCCACCAAGCTGTCAGGAAGCTGAGCTAGAGTCCTGCAACGGGTCGGGTACCCGCGGGTCCCCGACGGGTCACCCACTAAAATGCTCTTTTGCGGGTGAAAAATACATAAATAAAAATAAACGGGTCGGGGGATATTTTTTTAGTGCGGGCGGGTAGTTGGTGATTTTTTTTTTATGAGTGTGAGTTGTTATGGACTTCAGAAATGTTATATTAATCAGGCACTGGGATCACCCTTGTTGTAGCTTGAAGCCCTGCTGGCAGTGTGGGCTTCCCTCCAAAAAGGCCACAGTCAGTGCATACACGTCTGCTGCAGTGTTAATGGCGCTGTTCTGCAGCGCAGCGTATTACTTGATGTGTTAACGGGTCGGGTTGCGGGTTAAATATCAACGGGTCGGGTTCAGATTTGAATTGAAGATATCCGCGGGTGACAGGTCGGGTTCGGTAGTCAACCTAACGGGTTCGGGCGGGTGCGGGTAGGTAAAACTCGGCCCGTGCAGGACTCTAAGCTGACCCCCCCTCAAAAAAAAAATCATTCCGGACAAACTTTCTCCTGCTCTAGTATAATACTATATTTATTTACTGTTTTGTTGCACTTTTACTGTTACAAATGCTATATCTTACATAATTATTAATAATAATAATAATAATAATAATAATAATAATAATAATAATAATAATAATAATAATAATAATAATAATAATAATAATAATAATAATAATAATAATAATAATAATAATGATAATAATAATAATAATAATAATTTTTCTGCTGCCATTACCATCTGCCTTTTTGCACTAGCATAAGTATTGCATATTTTATATTATTGTACATTTTATATTCTATTGTGAAATTTAATGTTTAAATTTTTGTATTAGGAGCTGATCTTATCTGTTGTGCCTGTGCACTTTATCTGTTTCACTGTTGGTGAATGAGAAACGTCCTCTCAAGTCCTTCTATGTCTGGTGAATCTGAAGAATTGACATTAAAGCTGACTTTGACTTTGAAATGTTATAGGCCTACTGCATATTGAGAAAATTTAGATCGATATTGCGCAACAATCGGGAGATGGGGACCCCTCCCAAATTATTGACAGGAATTTTGCACACTGAGGAACACCATTGCTTAAAGTGATCTTTGAAAGTGGATTTATAATCACCTCTATCAGTTTATCGATACAAGCTCAACATGGACTAATTAAAACAATGAAGTCTACGGTGGAAAAAACTTTTGACTCGTATGTTTAAAAAGAGTATTATGTTTAAGTGTCTTTATTTCTGGTTATCTGTAAGAGGCAAGCTTTTAGCTAGCAATGAATATGGGAATATATTGTACGCCCTTTTAATAAAAAAAGACAAATTTTAAACCCTGTTTTTGATATGTACAGCTTTGGTACGCCCTAATTTTCCCCTTGGAAACTTTGCTTAAATGATCAAAATTTCACAAGCAGCAGATCCTGAGTTGGAATAATAAAATTTTTGCTGTTTGACGCACCACATCAAGCAATCAGAGAAGCTTATCTAGGAAGTGGCAGAGAGATGTACAGCGCTGGTGATGGAGGTCAGATTACTCCACTGAAACCATATATTAATGCCTAAATTAACTTAAAATTTCTAAACCTGCCAGCAAAATATGTCTACTTCCAATCGCCCAAAAGAGGCCACATGGCCTGAGGCAGCTGCTGCTGGGGATTCCCAGTGACAGCACATCATCGATATGTGAGGATCAGAGAGCCTAACACAGCATAATAATATGATAAAGCAAGATCGTAATCTTGGTGAACTGACTGCACAGACAATGTTTTGAGGTGGACTTTCTTGCATAAAAATATATTAAAACTATTTTTTACCAGCTGATCACAGCAAATATAGAAAAGCCACTCTGCTATAGAACAAAGGAGCGGTAGAAGCATCAGATGCATCTGTACACACTTTACTGGACGTGATTCAGGAACAACAAAGATCCTCTTTAGGCATGTCTAACCTTAATGTGTACAACAATCAAAAACCACCTCTAGTCAAGCTCACATACTTCACAAAATCATGACAAATGTAGTGTGGTGAAAAGACAAAAAGTTAGCTGCATTCCACCGCAAAATGCAGGAAATTGCATTTTAGAGAGTTTAAATTTCAAATTTTTCTGGGATAGGATACCCCTGGACTATGGAGGACCAACTCAGCCATATTTAAAAATGAATACAGAAATAAATAAATGCTCAATAGATAAATAAACATACAATTAATTGCCACCAAAATACAATAAATAAATGTAAGTAGAAAGTAAATTATACAGTGAGACATAAAAGTATATAACTCTTTTAATTAACTTCTTTATTTATTTACCTTTGTAATAATTACCTTATTTATTCTTTTGTCCTTTATAATCTTCAACTTTATTTTTTTTTATTATATTTTTAAGTATTTATTTATGTGCATGTTATAATATTTTTGTCTGTTTTATTTTGTATATTTTTTACCCTAGTTATTTCTTCGCCGCTATTTATTTCTGCCTGCCCTTTTTACATTTCTGTATGCATTTCTGCCTCATTATACAGATGAGGAGGGGGTGTGTCCTAGAGAGTCAACTTCTGCTCATTGGTTGGCGGCCCAACTTCTTAACTCACAGTACTCAGAGTACGTTAGTAAGTTAAATGTTCTCTTTTCTCTTGCTGTTGTTCAATAAAAGTACATTTTAAGATTATTTGAGGCGAGAACATTATACTTTTAAGCATCACCATATGGCCCATTCATAGATTTAATGCGTAATTTAAAAGAAAATGTTCCGAAGTTGAGAGGACCGCGGCAACCAGCGGAGCCGTGTGTGAAGGACCGCTGGCTATGATGCCGATCTTTTGTTGTATTTGGCAAAGTTTGTCCTCGCCAAGAACATACTTGGCGAGGACACGAGTCCCTACTCGCGTTCTAATGACTTCCGACTCGACTTCAGACTCTTCTCTCCTCCTGTAGATTCGACCGATGCAGTAAAATGCTAACCA